ACAGAGTGCAGTTCTCCTCTGAAACACATGGGGTCACCATGAGTTGGAATGAACTCAGTGTCAGTTGTTTTTTGTTGATTGTTCCAATACTTCACTGTATGGATGCACCACAATTTAAGAACTTCTGGTCTTGAGGAGCTCTGTGGTGTAGTGCCTAAGGCATTTGACTGCTAACCAGAAGGCTGGCAGTTCAAACCCATCAGCCACTCCTTGGAAGGAAGACTGGGCAATCTACTCCCATAGAGATACCACCTCGGAAACCCAAGGAAGGGTCGCTATGACTATGAGTCGGGAACCAACTCGATGGCAGTGAGTTTGGTTTGTTTGTTTTTTTTCTTTTTGGTCTAGACTAGTTCATAAGGACTTGTCAGAAAAAAAATCCCACAGCTGTGTTAAGAGTATGAAAATGTACCACAATTTACTTACCCAATCCTTTGGTTTGGGATCTTTAGTTTGCTATACATTGTTCATGAGTGAAAATTATTTTTGTGATAAACATCGTCAGGCTTCTTGGAGAATAAACTGAATTGGAAAGAGGTTAAGGAAAAGGATTGGGTTGTCAGAAAGACCTGAGTTCAAGTTCAGGCTCTGCCTCAAGTTATTAGCATCACTGGAGCCTTGGTTGCTTCATCTGCAAAACAATGATCCATTCAGCAGCTCTGACCTCATAGAGTTTTTAAAAAACAACTTCATTGAGATATTAGTCACATATCATACAATTCACCCATGTAAAGTGTACGATTCAATGGGTTTTAGCCTCACAGGGCTTTTTGCAGGATTAAAAGCCACAGTGTCAGTAAAAACTAGACACACCTGGCACACTATAAGCACACAAACCGCCACCTATCAAGTGTCTTGTTGGTGAGTTACATTATTTTCTTAGGCTAGACTCCTAAGAAGCAATCAAATAGGGTCACATCCTGTAAGCCTCTCAAATGTCTTGGAAATAGGTCGTATGGAGAGAGAAGGTATTCTGAGGTGTATTTTTGTTTGTTTGTTTGTTTGTTTGTTTTGGTGTTTGGATAGAATTGGGGGACCAGGAGGAGTCAGTATGAAATTGTTGAACTATTTGACCCAAGATGTCCTCTTTCATTCCTCCTTGTGTAACCCTGAATTACACTCACCCTGACCTCCCTACTCAAGTGACACACTCCTTCGGCAAGGGTTGCATTCATACCACATCCAGTTGCCCATCCTAGCTCTAGCCAAGGTGGCTGCAGAGTGGGCAGGTCAGAAGGAGAGGCAGTAGGTCACGGCCAGTTCCGTGGGGTGCCCAACCTACCTATTAAACCATAAAAACATATTCCACTTGACTGTGGGAGGACTACCTCCCTGTTTCAGGGCTGAGTTAGTGAATGTCAGCCAAATGCAAAAGTGGGTTGCACCAGAGTGGTGTGTGGGTGAAACCTCAGGCACATCTCAGCAGGTATGGGAGCAGGTTACGTGAAATGGGTGTGGACTAGGTGGTGAGGGAGGAGGGGTGGGGTCAGAGGTGGGCGAAGGTGGAGGTGAGGTTGTGGCCCTAGCTGGGTTGGACAGATGCAACCATTTTTGACTCGTGGACTCCTTTTAGAATCTGAATGATGCTAAAGAAAGAATGGATACACAGAAACTCACTCAAGAGTTCAAGATTAAGAACTCTAAGAGTATGAAAATATTTGTGTCATCTCATCTGAAAGAGATTTAGGAAGGTTTGCAGGTTTGGGAATTAAATTCCAAAGTCTACTTATCTCATGAAGAAGCTCTGGTGGTGTAGTGGTTAAGGCATTCGGCTGCTAAATAAAAGGTCAGTGGTTTGAACCCAACAGACGCTCTGTGGAAGAAAGATGAGGCAATCTGCTTCCACAAAGATCTACAGCCTTAGAAACCAAATGGGGGTCACTATGAGTCAGAATTGACTTGATGGCAGTTGAGTTTAGTTTTGATTTTACCTATTTCATAAGGACACCTGGTGGTGCAAAGGTAAAACATTTCACTGCCAACCAAAAGGTTGGTGGTTGGAACCCACCCAGCAGTCACTTCAGGGGAGAAAGACCTGGTGCTCTGCTCCCATAAAGATGACAGCCAAGAAAACCCTGTGGGGCAGCTCTACCCTGTCATGGAGGGTCACTATAAGCCGGATGTGATGGCATATAACAAAAACAATAACAGCATTTATTTTATAAATGTTCTATTTTCTTCCAGTTTTTTATTTTGAAATTTTCCAATCTGCCCAAAAGTTGAAAGCTCATGTATTCTTCATCTATACAATCGCCAACTGTTACTATTTCTCCCCATTTCCATTCCTGCCCCCATGTGTTGCTCCTGCTTTCAGAAACCCATGTTTTTTTTCCTAGAGAACCATTTGAGGGTAAATTGCAGGTATTCTGATATTTCATCCCTAAACACTTGGGATTTGCCTGTAGACACATAATACAATTACCACAATCACAAAATTTTGCATTGATACAATATTATTATATAGTATACCCTGTCACATGGGGTCACTGTGAGTCAAAACCGACTGGACAGCACCCAACAACAACAACATCCTATGTTCAGATTTCCCAAACAGTCCCCATAGTGTCCTTTTAGTTGCACGGTCATCTCTCGGTATCCTCAGGCAATTGGTTCCAGGACCCCCAGGGAGACCAAAATCCTGGGATACTCGAATCCCTTATATAAAATGGCATAGTATTTGCATATAATCTACACACACCCTCTCCTATACTTTAAATCATCTCTAGATTACTTACAATCCCAAATACAATGTAAATGTTCTATAAATAGCACTTTGAGCTCACTCTTAGCCTTTGAGGGATTGTTTTGACAATTTAATTGCTTTTCTTCCCCTCAAATATTTTCAATCCAAGTTTGACCGAATCTGCAGATGCGAACGGAATCTGCGGGGTACAAAAGGCCAGCTGTATTCTCCCTCCAGTCTTCCCTCCATCTCTCCCTTCCTGCTTCTCTTCCTTCTTTCCTTTTTTTAAATCCAGTATCTAATCCAGAATCATGAAGGAGCTCTGGTGGTGGAGCAGTTAAGGCATTTCGCTGCTAACCAAAAAGGTCAGTGGTTCGAACCCACCAGCAGCTCGGTGGAAGACAGATGAGGCAGTCAGCTTCTGTAAAAATCTCCTATGCCATGATGCTGAACAAGTTGCAGCAGAGCTTTCAGACTAAGCTAGACCAGGAAGAAAAGCCTGGTGATCTACTTCTCAAAATGAGCCAAATAAAGCCCCCTGGATCATCAGGGTCTCAGTCAGAACCAGTCACACACAACCCAGGCACAGGACGAGGTAGCATTTTGTTCTGTTGTGCTTGGGGTCACTACGAGTTGGGGGCCAACTTGAAGGTAGTCAACACAACACCCTTATCAGGCACTTAATGTCTGCCAGACACTGATCTAAATGTTTTACATGGTTCAATTCTCCCCACAGCCCTGCAAAGTAGGTGCTTTTGCTGATTTTACACTGTCATCTCTGCAACACAGAGAAGGTAAGTACTTGTCCCAAGGTCACACAGCTTTTTAGTAGCAGACCTGGGATTCAAACCTAGATAGATGTAACTCTACAGTCCATGTTCTTAACTAAGTACTGCAGAGGAGTGGGACGTGGCTCAGCTAGAAAACTGTGAAAAGAAGTTGGAGTCAGAAGAGTCTTGCTACGTAAGGAGGTTCTGTGGTAGAGGATGTGGGACGGAATGGCAAGATGGAAGAAAGGTACAGAAGATCAACGAGAAGGGAACGTTCAGAGGTAGGAGGCAACACAATAGGCCAGTCTGTTTGGCCCATCCTCAGTCATCCTCAATCCTTAGTCTAGGCCTTCAGGTAGGACCTTCACGCTTTTTCCTCCCTCTTCCCAAACAAATACAGGCTATCTGCATAGTCTTGAAGTATTTCCCCACAAGTCACTTTTTAATTACAAAGGGAAAATAGTAACTTTGCAGTGAAGTAACCTGGGAGGCACCAGTTTAATCAAGTGACCCAAGTGAACATTTAGAGGGTATTCAGGGAAGGTTCTGGAAGGGAAGTGGGGGAGTGTTTGAGAAAGGTCTGTGAGGAAAACTCTGGATATTGAGAGAATAATAGGTTTATGGGCGACAGAGCAGGGTCCAGCGGGGAAGAGGGAGGGTCTCTGGGGGAGATGACGGATCCTGGCGTGGGGGGAGTTCTGGATGGTCAGAGGGACTTGAGGTGAATAGTTTAGGTGACAGGAGGGGTCAGAACAGAGTCAAGTATGGGAGGTCTGGAAGTGGGTAACTCTGGGATTAGAGGGTGAGAACTTGCGGTAAGGGTCTCCGCGACAGTTTTGAAAGGGTCGGGACAAGGGCAAAAGCTCCAGGACAGCCGTCTGTAGGTGGGGAAGGTACTGGGTGAGCGCTGAGTGAGTCAGGCCACCTGAGGATGGGGCGATCTGGACCCGGGCTCTGGGCTGCGGGCAATCGGGGGCGGGGCCGGCGCCGCCCGGCTGGTCCCCCGGCGCTGCAGGGGGCGCTGTGAGCCCGGGCGGCGCCGGGCCGGGCGGCGGCCGCTCCTAGTGAGCACGGCCCCTTTTCCGGGTTTCCTCCTCCTCTCCTCCTTCTTC